TATGTTATGGTGCTGGCGTTCCTTTGTGGAATTCTGTGATGCCAGCCGTTTTCTTGAAGTCTTGTCCACCTGACTTTGATGGCAAGTATTAGAAGCTAAAGGAATGTGTTCATGGCCTTGTCAGGGCAAACTGAAGGCACAATCAAAGCTTTGGAGAAGTTGGGTGTCATCAGTGAGGTCATCCTGGGGCAGTCAGGTTTTGTGGTTTGTGGGTGCATGTTGCTGGCGGGTTTTTGGGGTCCCTTTGGGATCCCTAAAACTGCTTCTGCAGCCCTCAGCAACGGACTGCAGCCCTCAGTGACGGAGCACGTTCCTGAGCCTTGTCCAGATAGAATTTTGGCTCACAGCAAGCTCTCAGACCGGCGGGGTAAAGGGACCAGAATATGTAGAAAGGCAGAAATCCATAGTTTATTCTATGAAGGCATCCAGTCTAGCATATACAACGGTTAGGGTTTTACAGGGGTTTTTATATCTTTTGAGAGTTTTGCAGTTTGCACCAATTACCAAGGGAATTCTACGTTCTAACCAATCCTCGAGGGATTTTACATTCAAAGCTAGCCTATGGATACTAAAAGAAAATGACCCAATAATATTGGAGATAGATAAGAGAGTCTACCAAGGGGGGGAAGCTGGATTCTTTTTTGTATTCGTCATTTAACAAGCCATTTTTTATCTTTATGCTATGGTTTTCCAAGGGGTCTGTTCTGGGGATACAGAGGGACATTCTTCTTTATGAATGTTTTCTGCTTCCTCCACAGGTGCATTGTGAGGATGGGCCCCAAACCATCACATCTCTGTCAGGCTGGTCTGGGCTTTGCAGGAGTGCTGCTTGTGAGGGTCTGCTCCTTTGATCACACTGTTTCCATCCCCACCACGTTGCCATCTCTCCAGGTGTTTTTATATACCAGACCTTTCCTGTTGTGTATGGGAAAGCAATCCCTGCAATATAGGGAGGCTTCCCATGCTGCCCTAAGTCTTGTGTTGGTTTATCCCTAGCACTCATCTCATGTGGGCCTAGAAACGTCACACAGTGGGGTCACAGTGCTGGGCTCAGGCTGACACATAGAAAGGAAAAGTGTTGAAGGATAAGTAGAACATGACGTGAGAAGAACAATTTCTCATCCATTGATTAATACACCATTTGGCCATGTACCCTTTACTGCAAAAAATGCCAGCAGTTACCAGGACAGGATTAGGAAAAGAAACATGAGTGGGTTGAGGGCAGTGTTGATCCTTTCGCCCACCACTTGTGCAACTCCTCAGGGGAACAAGGACATGGACGTGGTTGACCAAGAGCAACTCAAGGAGTTACCATAACAATGATGGAAATGGAGCAGTCTTAAAAAGAGAAGAAACAAGAGACTTGGAATTTTTTCAGACAGGAGTCAAGAATGCAAATGGTACATGTGTTTAATATTCCACGGCATGACCTCAGTGTTGACTTTCCAGTTCTCCAAATCTCTAATTGAATCTTCTATGTGTTCTAAAACCTAACACCACCAGCAAGACATTGGCCACCAGTTCTCCCAATCAGGAGCTTCTACCAAGGTCAGATGAACACGGCCTCAAGAAAAGGACATGGAATTGCAGAGTTGCAGGAAGGAAAATACTCCCCACCTCATGACTCACCAAGCTGGGCCAGCCAAAGAGCTGCTGACTGCAAAATGCCCCAAGGCCATGGGACAAGGCTGTCCCACCCATCCAGGACCAGCATAAAAGCCGGCCCAGTGCTGCTCTTCCTCACACACTTCTCCTCACACCTTCACCTGCTCCTGCTGACAAGGTGAGTCTCAAGCCCCTGAACCTCCTGCTCCTGCATCTCCGACTCCTCTCTTCCAGCACGCTCAGATCCAGCCTCAGCAGCCATCACACCTCCCCATAGCCCCACAACAGCCTCCACACTCCCTCACCCTCCTCCATCACCACCCCTCACACCCCCGCACGCCTGCCCTGCCTTACTCCCCTCTCTTCCAGGGACCCTCCACACCACACCCATGGCCTGCTACGACATCTGCCGACCCTGCGGACCCAGCCCGCTGGCCAACAGCTGCAACGAGCCCTGTGCCCTGCAATGCCAGGACTCCCGTGTCATCATCAACCCTTCCCCTGTGATGGTCACCCTGCCTGGACCCATCATGACCTCCTTCCCCCAGAGCACCGCTGTTGGATCCACCTCCTCGGCTGCCGTGGGCACTGAACTCAGTGTTCAGGGACAGCCCATCTCTGGTGGATTTGGTGGCTTTGGTGGCTTTGGTGGCTTTGGCTATGGCCGTGGATTTGGCTATGGGTTTGGAGGCTTGGGCTGCTATGGCAGAAGGGGTGGCTACATCTGCTAAGGACCCTTAGCACCACTCCTGACACCAGCCACCCACTCCCTGGAACACACCCCAGGCATTGAGGACACCTCAAATGGGCCAAGGCTCTCAAAGAGGCTCAGCTCTTCCAGCTCCTGCTCTCAGGGCATGAATCGAGGCAGTAGCCAAGGATCCAGTCCAGACTGTCTGCAAATATGGCCCATCTGCCTCCGTCTTTTGCTCCCAGCTCCCTGTTTCTCCTCTCCCTTTCAGCTCTGTCCAGCTCCCTCCACTGCAAACCCCTTCTCCCAGGGACCTTTAGGCACCTCTGCTGAGCTGCTCTTACTCTGGGGCAGGAAGGCCTTGATGCTCTGGCCAAACGTACTGCAAAGCAAAGGACCTCGGCTGAGGGTCACCCTGATTGCATCTCAGCCCAATTCCCTTCCACTGCCTGCTCCTGCTTTTTCATTGTTTTGTCTCAATAAATTTTTTTCTTGCATCACAATTTCAGATGTTTGTTTTCTAAATGGACTCCTAATAAACCGGGTGTGAAACCTGTTTCCCTTTCACTGCTCCACAGGAGAGAGGGAATTCAGAGTCCAAGTGTCTTCATAAGAAGTTTAGATTGGATATTAAGGATGCTTCCTCCTTGGAGAGGGTTGCCATTCCTGTCGCAGACTGCACAGGGTAGTGATGGAGTCATCATCCTTGCAGTGATTTAATATCCCTATAAATATGTCACTTGGGGACACGAGTTAGTGGTGGCCTTGGTAGTGCTGAGGGAATGCTTAGACTTTTATTGTATTTTTGATTTAGACCTTTTGCAACAAAAATGTTTCAAAGATGTGACTGTTCAGTGGTGGATTTCATGGTCCTGCATTAACAGTTGTACTCAATGTCAAGAGGCTTTTCCAGCTGAACTAATTCCATGTGTGTTGGTGGCACCTGTGCAAGGGACCAGAGGCCAACAGGGAGTGGCAGCAGAGGAGAGGTGAGCCAGACTTTTGGGGTCTTGAGTTATGGCAAGCGCTGATGGATGTAGCCACTTCTCTTGGAGGATTTCCTTTGAGGAAATGGTGTTTGAGCTGTGTATCTGCTCTGTGCCAGTGACTCAGCCTGAGCATGAGGAAAGAGCTGTGGTTGCTGTTGGACACAACTCTTTTGTGAAGCCTCTGAGGCTCTTTCCCATTCTGCCCTCCCAGAGCATCTGAGCAAGTCTGGGTTCCCTGAGAGTGCAGTGAGTGTCCTGAGAGTGGTTGTGGCCCAGAGGCTGGGGATCAGTGGCCCAAAATTCAAATCGAGGAAAGTCTAAAGGGAAATAGATCAAGAGTTGTATCCAGTAGGCCCTGTTCAGCATCCTCAGCAATGACATGAGCAGTGAGACTGTTGGGCCCTCAGCAAGTTGGCAGGTGATGGAGAGGCTGAGGGACCACTTGGTTGTGCAACCAGTCAGAGGGAGCTGGGGACTGGGGTTTAAAAGAATCTCCTAAAGTTCAAGCAAGGGAAACACGAAGTTGTGCATCTGGGTAGGAATGGCAGTGGGCCCCAGCTCATGCTGGGGGCTGAGATCCAGGAAATGGGCTTTGCTGAGCAGGACCCTGTGGGACCACAAAAAAGAGACCACAAAATCTCAGTCTTTTCTTTACTGGAAAAAGCATCACCAGTATCCAAGATGTATTTCAGGCAATTCTTGCCATAGAGTCAGGATAAGTGGCCTTTTCTCTCTTTAGAACACGTGGGGTGGTGGGGGCAGTTCTGGGTTGCCCAGGAAAAGAACCACAAAGGCTTAGTGAAACAAGACCAGATCAGGGCGACCAAGATACTGGAAGGGCAGGAGAATCTTTCCTAGCGGGCAGAGAGATTGGGGACTGCCAGGAGACAAGGCTGGAGAGGGGAGTGTCATCAGCATCCTCAGATCCCTGATGGCAGGGAATAATGTTGAGGGAGCCTGGCTCTTCTCAGCAGAGCACACATGTGAAGGAAAAGGAGGAAGGGCAGAAGAGAAAACAGATGGAATTCTGTGGGCAAAGAAGGCAAGAATTTTTCAGTGTGAGAGCGGTCATAGAGTGGAAAAACTGGCAGTCTTCGCTGGGAGAAGCAAAAGTGAGCTGGCCATGGTGCTGGAAATGCTGCCCTTGCAGATTTTGCTTGAGCAGAGGGAAATGAAGCACTTATATTCCAGAATTTGTGCCCAAGTGGATGATTTTGTTCCTCCTGTTTGTTGGGTGGGTTCAAGAGCCCTGGCGGGGAAGAGATTTTTTCAAGTGTGTGCTGGTACAGAGAGACTCTGTCAGAGCCATGAGCAGGAGAGCATGGATGTGTCAAAACCCTTGAGGCAGTGGGTCCTAGGTTTGTGTCATGTTTTGGAAGGTGTGCTCTCGTCCCCTACTTCCAGTGCCTGCCTTGGTTGTCACTGGTGGTGACATCTTTGCTAAGAGAGGTGTTCTGCTTCTTTTCCATCTATACCAGTGGCATTCTGCTGGGTGAGGATGTGAAACTATTGGAATTCAAAAAGATAAGGAGACATCTCAGACTTGGATGCAGGAAAACTTTATTGAGGGGAAAAAATGAAGACAGGAGAAAAAACTAGAAGGAATCCAGTGTGAGATGCAAGCAGGGCGACCATCAGCCCAGGTGATTTGATTGCAGGAGCTGTTGCTAGGCCTCCAAGCTCTTTATTGATGTCAGCGGTGGTGCTGAGAGCCGTTAGCAGTTATAGCGGCCCCTTCTGCCATAGCAGCCCAAGCCTCCAAACCCGTAGCCAAATCCACGGCCATAGCCAAAGCCACCAAAGCCACCAAAGCCACCAAATCCACCAGAGATGGGCTGTCCCTGCACACTGAGTTCAGTGCCCACGGCAGCCGAGGAGGTGGATCCGACAACGGTGCTCTGGGGGAAGGAGGTCATGATGGGTCCTGGAAAGGTCACCATCACAGGGGAAGGGTCGATGATGACACGGGAGGTCTGGCATTGCAGGGCACAGGGCTCGTTGCAGCTGTTGGCCAGCGGGCTGGGTCCGCAGGGTTGGCAGAGGTTGTTGCAGGCCATGGGTGTGGTGTGGAGGGTCCCTGGAAGAGAGGAGAGTGAGGCAGGGCAGGGGTGTGGGGGTGTGAGGGGTGGTGATGCAGGAGGGTGAGGGAGTGTGGAGGCTGTTGTGGGGCAGTGGGGAGGTGTGAGGGCTGCAGAGGCTGGGTCTGAGTGTCCTGGAAGAGAGGGTTCAGGGGTGCAGGAGCAGGAGGGTCAGGGGTTTGAGGCTCACCTTGTCTGCGCAGGAGCAGGAGGAGAAGTGTGTGAGGAGGCTCTGGGCTGGCTTTTAAGCTGATCCTGGAGGGGCGGGATAGCCTTGTCCCATGGCCTTGGGGCTGAGTCATGAGTTGTGGGAGTGTTTTCCTTCATGCAATTCGACAATTCCATGCCCTGCCCTTGATGCTGTGTCCATCTGACCTTGGCGGCAGCTTTAATAATTTGGTATTTGGGCGGATTTGATTGTTCAGTGTGTGTCAGGGAGAGCTGAATAAACAACCAGAATCCTGGAGATTTGCAATGTCATCAGTGAGGTCATTTTGTGGCACTCGTGTGCTGTGTTTTGCGGGTGCCCTGTGAAAACTGTGAGTCTGTTCTTTGCCACTGGATGTCTATCAAGTCATTGTATTGCTCCCAGGAATGCTAAGGGAGCTGTTAATTTCCTGGGGAGGGCACTCCGCAATAACTTGGGAAGATCCTGGTACCTGGCATCTCTTCATGATGGATGAAAGAGAGATCACGGCCATGTGTCTTGAATGGGATCAAGGGAGAGGACCTTTAAAATGAGAGGCTATTCAGACTGAACTCATTCCAGTGCTGAGCCCATTTGGATTTCTCAAATTTACATGACAGTGTACTCTACCATTTAAACTGTACTCCTTGACATTGTTAAGAAATCTAATAAAGAAACAACAAACTGGATTTGATCCTTTTTCCCCCAGGCTGTCTGTGACATCAATTCACTTATTCCCCATTCAAGCCCATAAGTTTCATAACTCATGAGTGTAATTTTTAACATTGTATTTCTCTAAGCAAATTACCATTAATTACTAAAGGACAATCATTGAGCTCCACTGTTTTTTCCTGACAAGGTATGTGCATCTCTTTGTGGAATTGTGCAATTCCATATCCTGCTCCTGAGGCTCTGTCCTCTGTGGCTGTAACTTTTAATTGTGAGTACTAAGAGGTCAAAATTTTCTATTGATGACTCATGTCAGGGAGGGCTGAAGACATGACCCAAGCTTTGGAGAGGTGAGGTGTCATCACTGTGGTCACTCATAGCCCTCATGTGTCGTTCATGGTTGCCTTCTGAAAAATACTCCATTTCTCACAGTTCTGAGAGGGTGGTCTGGGCTGAGCAGCTGAGCCAAGGAAGAGGTGCTGCACCTTCCATTGCCTTCCATCCCTCCATGCATTTTTCCCAGTTGACAAAGCCTGACATCAGACCTCACCTTTCTGTTTGGATATACTCAGTGGGTGCTTGGGAGACACTCTAGCCTCAAAGGTTTTGATATTTTGGGTCTTTGCTTGGGCTGAATGCAAAGGTGTGAGGCCACGTGTGATTGTCTGAATGAGGATTTGGAGGTCACCCAGGGTTCTTGGAGATGAGCATTTCATGATCCTCAACAACCCAGGCAAGTTCCGGTTGTGTCAGTGCCCAGCATAGTGGACTGAGAAGGGTCTGAAGAGCTGGACCCGGAGGCTTGTGGTCAATGTTCCAAAGTCCAGACAGCAGCAAGTCCCCAGTGCTGTAGCCCAGGAGTTGGATCCACTGGGCCAACACTGAAAACCTGACAGGTTATGGACATTTGCTGAACTTCAGCAAGGGCAGCTGTCAAGTGCTTTTTCTTGGGATGAATTATCCCAGGGTGTCACTTGGAACAATTATTTTCTTCTCTGAAAAAACCTTTGTGGTTCCGAGTTAGAAGGAATGGGGCAGGAGGTGTCCCTGTATCATCATTTTGGTAAAAGAGACCCAAAGTCTTTAGGTCAAGACTGGGAGAAGTGCTGCAATGAGTGAGGGGGAGGTGACTCTTGGTGTCTTCTGAGCACTGATTAGGTCCCATGTGAGGTGTTGTGGGCAACTCTGGGCTCCCAAGTGTGAAAATGAAGTCGGTTTAGTAAATCATAACCAGTTCAGAGCCACCAAGATTCCAAAGGAGATGGTGAATCATTCCTGGATGAGAAACAGAGAGCTGGGACTGGCAGGGGACGAGGGTGGACAGCGGGGTGTCATCAGTGTGTGCAAATCTCTGCTGGCAAAGGATGAAATCGAGGGAGCCCAGCTGTTCTCAGCAGTGCATACATGCAGGACAAGAGGGCAGTAGCGAAAGGGGAGACAGATGGAATGCAATTGCTAAAGACTGCAAGAATCTATCATAGTGAGGGTAGCCATAGTGGGAGTGTTGGAGTGTCTGTCCTGGGAGATAGGACGCTGAACTGTCCATGGTGCTGGAAGTACTGCTCCTATTTATCTTGCTTGAGTAGGGGACTGGAAGCACTTGCACTCCAGATTTCTTGTTCAAATGGATGATTTTGTGAGTCTGTTTGCTGGAGGGGTTCAAGAGTCCTGGTGGGAAGACAGCTTGTCAAGTGTGCACTAACATAGAAATATTTTAGCAGTTCTTGACCCCGGAGAACATTGATGTTTACAAGGGTTTGGTTTATCAGGTGTTGGGTTTGTGTTGTGTTCTGAAAGGTGTCCCCTCCTATGTTTCCTATGCCAGGCTTTTTTATTAGTTGTTTCCATATTTTTGTGAGGGAAGGTGCTGTTGCACATACCCCAATGACCCATGTAGGCGTGGAATGGGCCTGGTAAGGATGCAAGACCTCTGGAATCACAGAAGAACAGGAAGCGCCTAAGTCTTTGATGCAGGAAAACTTTATTGAGGCACAAGAATGAAGAGACAGGAGAAAGAAGAAGGGATCCTATGTGAGGTGCAAGTAGGACAGGCACCAGCAACGGTGCTTTGCCTGCAAGAGCTGTTGCCAGAGCCCTGAGCTGGTGATGTCAGGAGTGGTGCTGAGGACCCTTAGCAATTGTAGCCGCCCCTTCTGCCGTAGCAGCCCAGGCCATAGCCAAATCCACGGCCATAGCCAAGGCCATATCCAAAGCCACCAAAGCCTCCAAAGCCACCAAATCCACCAGAGATGGGCTGTCCCTGCACACTGAGTTCAGTGCCCACGGCAGCCGAGGAGGTGGATCCGACAGCGGTGCTCTGGGGGAAGGAGGTCATGATGGGTCCCGGAAAGGTCACCATCACAGGGGAAGGGTTGATGATGACACGGGAGTCCTGGCATTGCAGGGCACAGGGCTCGTTGCAGCTGTTGGCCAGTGGGCTGGGTCCGCAGGGTTGGCAGATGTTGTTGCAGGCCATGGGTGTGGTGTGGAGGGTCCCTGGAAGAGAAGGGGGTTGAAGCAGGAGAGGGATGTCAGGTGTGAGGGGAGGAGATGGAGGAGGGTGAGGGAGTGTGGAGGCTGTTGTGGGTCTGTGGAGAGGGGTGAGGGATGCAGAGGCTGGGTCTGAGTGTGCTGGAAGAGAGGGTTCAGGGGTGCAGGAGCAGGAGGTTCAGGGGTTTGAGGCTCACCTTGTTGTCAGCAGGAGCAGGAGGAGAAATGTTTGAGAAGTGTGTGAGGGGGAGAGGCTCTGGGCCAGCTTTTATGCTGGTCCTGGATGGGTGGGACAGCCTTGTTCCATGGCCTTGGGGCATTTTTTAGGCAGCAGCTCTTGGCTGGCACAAGCAGGCGAGTCATGAGTTGTAGGAGTGTTTTCCTTCCTGCAATTCTGCAATTCTTTGCTCTACCCTTGAGGCAGTGTCCATCTGACCTTGGCAGAACATCTGAATTGGGAGAATTGGTGACCATTATCTTGTTTTTTATGGTGTGTGTCAGGACATGTAGAATACTCAGCCGAATCTCAGGATAATTGGGCCGTCGTCAGTGAAGTCATACAATAGCATATTGACAACATCTCCCATTTACATTCTTGCTTCTTGCCTGAAAGAACTCCCAGTTTTCTCAGCCTATCCTCGTTCTGAGGATATCCCAGTCCCATCAGCATCCCTGCAGTGCTCGCAGTCAACCATGTCCACATCTTTGTTCCACCAGTGAGCCCTTCTAGTGGTGGGGACCAGGATAGTCCATTCCCTCAAGATTTCTAAAGCTCAGGCACATGGGTTTCAAGAGTGGATTAATCAATGGATGGTGAGCTGTGCTTCTCATGTGTCTTGTTTTCCTTATCCTACACCATTTTTTCCTTTCTGTGGGTCAGTCATAGCCCAGCTCTTGTGACCCCACAGTGTGACCCAGCTGGTCCCAGCTGAGACGAGTGCTACGGATGTACCAACTCAAGATTTTGGGGAGCATGGGAGGCCTTCCTAAATCACAGGGATCACTTTCCCATCTCCAGCAGGAAAATCTAGGAATACAGACAGGCTCTGAATGTTGGCAACATGGTGGAGAGAACATCATGGGAAGGGCAGTTCCTCACAAGCAGTGCTCCTGCAAAGCCAGACAATCCTGACTGAGCTGTGATGGTTCTGGGCCTCACTTCACAATGCACCCAAAAACCAGGACACACCAGTGTCATGGGATGACCTCACTGATGACACCCCATCTCTTCAAGGCTTTGGACATATCGTCAGCCCACCATGACACAGGCCATCAAGACTGTCCTTAACCTCTGTGACACTTAAAATCTGCCACCAAGGTCAGATGGACATGGCCTCAAAAGAAGGACATGGAGCTGCAGAATTCCACAAAGGAATGTCTGCACCATGACAGAGGAGGGAAGAGGACTATACTGACCAATCATTAGCAATTACTGGGTTTTGCTAGTAGGACAGATTATTAGGACTAAAACGATATGAGATATGAAGCTTTATGGCTTGAAGGCAGAATAAAGGCATGGACATCACAGACCAGCCTGGGAAAAAGTGGATCAAGCTGGGTTGGGTCTTAATTTAATGGATTTCTTAATGAAGTCAAGGAATACACTTTAAAGGACAGAGTACAATGTCGTGTG